CAGTGTTCTGTTCTGGAGCTCACCCATTCCATCCTCACACACACGGGTAAGGAACTTAGGCTAACACACTCTGACAGCACATTTGGGGCATTTGTGGGCTGGGAAGGGAAATACCACTGAGGTAAGAATGCTGAAATCAAAGCAACAAATGTGGAGAGGGAAGTACTGAGAATGAAGTTTCCTTCATCCCTCTACTTGCCGAAAGAGTTTCCCAAACCTGCCTTCATTTGGGAACTGGGGAGAGGGGGGAAATGGTGTGCTCTGGATTTCCTCCAGATCCTTGCAGTATCCATGGCTGTTCTCCAGCCTTTGGCTCACTGTTAACACAGAACATTGGACCAGAGTTGCCAGGACAGGCTCATATCTGCCCTGAAATAGACAAAGACTCCTCTCCCAAATAACCTGTTGATGCAGAGAGGGGAAGTAAACAACAAACCTCACACAGAGCAGGGATGGCTGTTATGCACCTCAGCTCCAGGTGCACTGACCTGCTGCTGGCAAATGTCACAGTGACGCAAATACTTGTGCCCTTTGCTCTCAACAAACGGGCAAAACCTTCCCAGTAACAAACAAACCCACAAACAACAAAGCACATCTAATGTTTGGCCCCAAAACATCCCATGTGCCACATGTGTGATGGGTGAGGAGGGGCAGGGTCCTGAACCTGTAGGAGCTGCTGTTGTGTTTGGGGTGCACTGGGGATGTGTGAGCTCCAGCTGAGTGTGCTCTGCCCTCCTCTGCAGGTGACACTGTTGGGGTATGGAGGGACTCTGGAGTGGCAGGAGTCCCCAGGGAAAGGACTGCTCATAACTCTGCCCTACATGCTCCCATCTCCTCTCCCTCCTCAGTCTGGCTGGGCTGTCAAGCTGGAGGGTGTGAAGTGACAGCACCTCCCACTGCCTTACTTTTTGATTGAATAAATTGTTTTTCACTTAAGAGAAGCTCTCCTCTTAACCCTTTTGCCTGGTATTACTGTGGTGTCTCCAGGGAGGTGGTGGAGTCACCATCCCTGGAGATGTTCAAGACATGACTGGATGTGCTTAGTGCTCTAAGACTCTTAGTGCTCTTAGACCACTTTGTGCTCTGGTCTAGTTGACAAGGTGATAATGGGTCACAGGTTGGATCTCTTAGACCACTTTGTGCTCTGGTCGAGTTGACAAGGTGATAATGGGTCACAGGTTGGACTCAGTGAAATCAGAGGTCTTTTTCAACCTCAATGATTCTGTGATTGTGTATTGATGGATCAGTTGTGATTGACTTTCATCATGAATAAATGTAACAGAAGCTTGTTGGAGGAGATCTACAAAACTCAGCTATAGACCATCACAATCTATGACAAATCCATTAACAAATCTTCTTTATATTCTGCTGGACACAGCTCCAGGCAGAAGAGCTTTTGTGCTTGGTGACTTTAAGAGAATCCACTGTTAAGAATTGCACTTCTGCTGTTGTTGCGCAGATTTCCTGTGTGATCTTGAACTTCTCAAGAATAGGTCGAGCCATACGTACTTGAGTGATGAAACTCCTCACAGTAGCACATGTTTCTGCATCACAGGTGGTTGTGAAGGCCCCACAAACAGGCTTTGTTTTGTTACTCTATGATGTGGTGCAAGCAAAAATCACCTGAACACGGAGCTGGGACACGTGCAGGGGCTGTGGGGCTGTTACTCAATGGGCAAACTCCCATCTGTGAGGGCTGCAGGGCACTGGCCCTGCCTGCAGAGCCTCCTCACGGCAGCATCACCCTGCTCGGGTTAGGCACACAAAGAGGGACAAAACGGGACAACACAGCCATGTCCTGTTTACCTCCCA